CGTTAATTATGGAACCCGAGGTTTAATCACCGTATCCTGAGCCAACATCAGGTAAACTAACTCCATAGAGTAGAGTCCGTATTTAGAAGCTTATAGCACCTCACCTAGTCAAGAAATGTCCTGTCTTTTCTGGAAATCAAAGGTTCATTGCCATGCTCAGAAGATCTCGTCACCGGTCCCTATTCTGAGGCAGATTAACCGAGTAATTTTGTATTGATACCAGGTAATAATTGTATTTTCCAACAAATGATAGGTTTCCTTGAATAATAAGTTTCGCACAAACAGTTTTTAAAAGTTGATTTATTACCGCTGGGGTTAGACTTCAGGGAATGTAACATGAGATATAATGTTGAACAATGGGAAAATTCGCTTCATTCCACCCTCTGATTTTATAAACTGAATAAATAATAACAGTCTTCTCGTTGCATCTGTTTTTTCCGACGTCAAAGCCCGGCTGGAAGGGTTTCTAGGAATAGTTCTGGAGGCGGCTTGTGCGAAATTAAAAGTCTCAGAAAGCAAATTCTACGATGCCAGGCAAGTCTTGGAAATCGGGACGCAAATGTTGCAGGACTACCTTCGTGATTTCCGGCCGACTTACTACCCAAGAACACGTTCCTGGAAGGGATTGGTCGGCAGAGGGGGTGAGCCCAGAAGCCGGCATGAATTTCGTGGCAAAAAGAAATTTCTGCACCTACTGTAAATAGAAGCCAGGCCGTCAATCCTTCAGCCAGGTAAGTGATACAAGCTTAAATAACTAACTAACTAAAAAAATGCCGTGTAGAATAATAATTACCACAGAACCCTGCTCAGTTTAGTGGAATTTTTTCGTGAATCCAGAAAAAAAATCAAAAATATAATTACAAAGAAAGATGGCCGGTTTGTGTAATTAAGAACAACGGACAGCCCACTGCTGGGAAAATCCGTATTTATTTGTGCAATATATGGCACCCTTCCCTCCCTTTCAACAGCTGTTCAAAATATTTGAAATTAATAAGTCATTGCTGTGTTTAATAAACGCCAGCGATAATTTTTTCACTTTATGAAGCACTTTAAATTATTTATTTATTCCTCAATTGAGGGAAGTAACTACGCATTTACCAATTTTTCTATCAGCAGCCCTACTATTCGGTTCTGTTTGCACCACTGCAGCGGGAGTCCACTAAACTTAGCTTGAAGCTAAATCATAATTTTCCGAAAGGCTGCTTAACGCATAAAAAATTGGTATGCGAATAAAACAGAACTCCTTGAGACCTACAACTTTTATTCGGAACATTTCTGAGCTGTGCTCATGACACACAAAGACGAACAGTTTCCATCTGTGCAGTGATATATCTGTAGTGAATTTATCAGCTCTACAACAGACAGTGAAAATCTCGTTTGGAAACCGTGTGCACACCATTGAGAACACTCAGTTCTTGTGCTTCTGCTCCTGCATTGGAAACAAAATGTGCCGAAGATGATATTTTTCGTGCTATTTTTTGTTTCGTGTTTGATAATTTTTTTTTTTTTTTGGGGGGGGGGTTATTGTGATAGAAGGGTAAGGAAGAATAGCGGACGAGGCAAAATGATATAACAGAGAGGAAGGAAGAGACCAATAGCTGCCGGGTTGCATGTCAATGACCTCTAAGCACAGGTCTTCGGCCTGGACAGGCTCCAGTTATGAAAGCAACGCTACAGATCTCATATCTTTATTCAATCTTACGGAACTTTGGGAAAGGTTTGTATTTTGTTATTTAGCTAAAGACAATAACTTAAGAGAATGAGACCCGTACAATTTATTTCTTCTTTTAATGTAGTTTCAAATTCACAGTTCCACGTAATGTCCATTCTTTTCCTTTCGACTCCCTCTAACTGGGCAAGTTTAATTTTGCAGGAAGTAACTGCTCTCATGAACGCAACAACGTCCATCCAGCTCATAACCAATCACATTAATGTCTGAGATATCTCACATCAAACTAAGCATCATATGCTCAACTCGTGTTTCGAAACATAGGCCTATGCACCACTAAGTCCAGTGCAACATTTTTACATAGTCTCCCTCCCTATTCTTCAGATAGCTACCTACTACTCGGAAATGTGTTTTATTTCTTGGCTGGTTTGTATGTTCTTAATATTTTCCCGCCTTTGCTCCTTCGTATCTTAATTGTTCTAAATTTATTTTATTTTTTTTACAAAGGGCCCATTACTGACTTCTTTTTTTCCCCTCAAAAAGTACAATCTAGTGAAGGCTAATAATTAATTCTAAGACTGGCAGGAAGATGTACAATTGCTAACAGTTTCTTCAAACGTAGGATCCGTAACCTAAATAATTTATACTGTAAAACTTCAGCCAATTACAAGCTGCGTGCAGTCACAGGAAAGAACTGCCAAATTACATCGATACCTAGTTCCTGTAGGAACTGTTGAATGACGATCTATAGCCTCCTCTTATATCTCCAAAACATGTCTGGTGACACGACTGTATCTTTTACCTTGACATTCTTCTTTTCGGAAATACAATGAGCGACATCATTTATTTTAAAAGATAAAGGTGAAGGTAGAGATGTCTGAGTCAGGACAGCCAGCAATCCACCCAAGTTCGGTTCAAATATAGGCCTATCCAGAACACAAGTGTCGTCATGAGTGGTCTCCTCGAATGATATAAATTACTTAAATAAACAAATGCATGAATAATACTTCAGTTTTTACTGGTTAGGCTTTATGGCCTGTTCCAATTCAGAAATACGACGCGTATAATAGACTTAATAAACAAGCAACTAAACAATCAAACAAATGGTTGTAAAAGAACACTTTCAGCATATCAGACTTCGTTCTATTTTTTCAGCGGACTTCTTACGTTATTTCTCAAATTAAAACTCACTATATTCAATGACTTTCAGCAACAGTAAAAGCGAACATTATGCATTCCGTTCTACCTTCAAACAGACTATAATTTACTCCATGGTACAGTACAGATGATGGTCTCGTCTTTTTGGTCCCTGCGCCGTGTATCATTTTGAATGTGGGTCAATTTTTCCACTCTGCCTTGTTATATGCCCCTGACAGACATGCAACTCCAATACTCGATAAAAATAATAAGATCAAGGCAACGGTCTCGTCATTGTTTCCTGCACGGACACCAGCTGCTTTACCAAGGGTTGATTTTTGTAAGGGTTCTTTGAATAATACAACTCTACTTCCCCCGCACTCAAGATGTGTGTAGGACAGGGGTGGGAAACTCATTTTTTCAAAGGTCAGATATGACTATTTCGGAATGACCGTGGACCGGCGAGCGTCGCGAGAAAAATTATGTGCATCAATTAATTTCAGGTAGTTACTGAATACTGGCACTGGCTGAACGTGATTCATCGATATATCAAAATATGTACAAATAACATTATTAACTATTAATTCGGACACGAATTAGCAAACTCTGATTTCTTCATAGGTGTCAACATATGCCTCAAACCGAAGCTGTGCCGACTTTGTCATCTGTAAATAAGAAAACAATAGATATACGTAGCAGATAATAAAAAACTTACATTTTTAGTCGATATGTCGATGTCTTGTATCAGCTGTTATGATTTTGCTTTTTATAATATGCATGAGGAAGCAAAAATGTATAAAATGTGGAATAATTATTCATAGTAAGTGCCTACCTTGGTGGCCCATATTTTGTTCATCCCTGACTTTGCGTCTCCAGCACTGATATGCATGAGTTAGTGTTACACAGCAGTGAAACATTGTTTTACTCCTTATTTTTAAGCTGCTGGTCACAATCATCCCGTTATTCCCTGCTAGGCTCGTGTTGAGGATCCCTGACGTTTTAAAGACAAACTTTTATATATAGGTTTTGTGCAAACTAAATACATTCTTTCATTCATGTGGGACATGGAAAAAACATATGAAGGGCATTAACATGAAATCGAGAAATGAAAAAAGTAGTACGAGTCATAATAACAACTAAACTTACAGTGAAAATATTAAAATATATTAATGTTAATACTGCTTACTTTTATAAGATGACAAATATTATTCGTTTTCCTTTCTGGTTCTCATAACAGTTAAGTAACAATGATCTGCCTTTAAAAAGGATAATATACCACAAACAACATATAATACAATCATTAAAAAATTATCATGATTAGATTAGAAAATATTTTACTCTGTACGATTAATGAAAGTATTGTAGGGGTTAATCTTCAGATAGCTACCTACTACTCGGAAATGTGTTTTATTTCTTGGCTGGTTTGTATGTTCTTAATATTTTCCCGCCTTTGCTCCTTCGTATCTTAATTGTTCTAAATTTATTTTATTTTTTTTACAAAGGGCCCATTACTGACTTCTTTTTTTCCCCTCAAAAAGTACAATCTAGTGAAGGCTAATAATTAATTCTAAGACTGGCAGGAAGATGTACAATTGCTAACAGTTTCTTCAAACGTAGGATCCGTAACCTAAATAATTTATACTGTAAAACTTCAGCCAATTACAAGCTGCGTGCAGTCACAGGAAAGAACTGCCAAATTACATCGATACCTAGTTCCTGTAGGAACTGTTGAATGACGATCTATAGCCTCCTCTTATATCTCCAAAACATGTCTGGTGACACGACTGTATCTTTTACCTTGACATTCTTCTTTTCGGAAATACAATGAGCGACATCATTTATTTTAAAAGATAAAGGTGAAGGTAGAGATGTCTGAGTCAGGACAGCCAGCAATCCACCCAAGTTCGGTTCAAATATAGGCCTATCCAGAACACAAGTGTCGTCATGAGTGGTCTCCTCGAATGATATAAATTACTTAAATAAACAAATGCATGAATAATACTTCAGTTTTTACTGGTTAGGCTTTATGGCCTGTTCCAATTCAGAAATACGACGCGTATAATAGACTTAATAAACAAGCAACTAAACAATCAAACAAATGGTTGTAAAAGAACACTTTCAGCATATCAGACTTCGTTCTATTTTTTCAGCGGACTTCTTACGTTATTTCTCAAATTAAAACTCACTATATTCAATGACTTTCAGCAACAGTAAAAGCGAACATTATGCATTCCGTTCTACCTTCAAACAGACTATAATTTACTCCATGGTACAGTACAGATGATGGTCTCGTCTTTTTGGTCCCTGCGCCGTGTATCATTTTGAATGTGGGTCAATTTTTCCACTCTGCCTTGTTATATGCCCCTGACAGACATGCAACTCCAATACTCGATAAAAATAATAAGATCAAGGCAACGGTCTCGTCATTGTTTCCTGCACGGACACCAGCTGCTTTACCAAGGGTTGATTTTTGTAAGGGTTCTTTGAATAATACAACTCTACTTCCCCCGCACTCAAGATGTGTGTAGGACAGGGGTGGGAAACTCATTTTTTCAAAGGTCAGATATGACTATTTCGGAATGACCGTGGACCGGCGAGCGTCGCGAGAAAAATTATGTGCATCAATTAATTTCAGGTAGTTACTGAATACTGGCACTGGCTGAACGTGATTCATCGATATATCAAAATATGTACAAATAACATTATTAACTATTAATTCGGACACGAATTAGCAAACTCTGATTTCTTCATAGGTGTCAACATATGCCTCAAACCGAAGCTGTGCCGACTTTGTCATCTGTAAATAAGAAAACAATAGATATACGTAGCAGATAATAAAAAACTTACATTTTTAGTCGATATGTCGATGTCTTGTATCAGCTGTTATGATTTTGCTTTTTATAATATGCATGAGGAAGCAAAAATGTATAAAATGTGGAATAATTATTCATAGTAAGTGCCTACCTTGGTGGCCCATATTTTGTTCATCCCTGACTTTGCGTCTCCAGCACTGATATGCATGAGTTAGTGTTACACAGCAGTGAAACATTGTTTTACTCCTTATTTTTAAGCTGCTGGTCACAATCATCCCGTTATTCCCTGCTAGGCTCGTGTTGAGGATCCCTGACGTTTTAAAGACAAACTTTTATATATAGGTTTTGTGCAAACTAAATACATTCTTTCATTCATGTGGGACATGGAAAAAACATATGAAGGGCATTAACATGAAATCGAGAAATGAAAAAAGTAGTACGAGTCATAATAACAACTAAACTTACAGTGAAAATATTAAAATATATTAATGTTAATACTGCTTACTTTTATAAGATGACAAATATTATTCGTTTTCCTTTCTGGTTCTCATAACAGTTAAGTAACAATGATCTGCCTTTAAAAAGGATAATATACCACAAACAACATATAATACAATCATTAAAAAATTATCATGATTAGATTAGAAAATATTTTACTCTGTACGATTAATGAAAGTATTGTAGGGGTTAATAAAGATAATAATAATAATAATAATAATGCTTATAATGATGATGATGATGATGATGATAGTACCAATGCAAATATTTTTGGTATAATAAGAAGAAAATTGAGGTTGACGAAAGAAACACGATAATAAAGAAAGAACAAATGTGAGAAAACGAGGATCATGAGAAGAAATAAGAGAGGAGGATATTGAAATAAAGACGCAGAAATGTTGTTGATGATGATGATGATGATGATGATAACTGATAATGGTGACGGTGACGGTGGAAACGTATGAGAAAGAAGTACGAAAAAGAGAAGAACGGAAGATAATTAGAAGGAAAGGGAAGATGATAAAGAGAAGATTAAGAATCATAAGTAGAGGGAGGATGTAAAGAATACGAAGAATGAGGTGGAGAAGAGTACGAGCAGCGGAGAAGAAGAAAAAGGAAGGGAGAAAAAGAGGAATAAGAAATTAAGAAATAATTGAGTACCAGATGGGCAGTTTGTCTACACCTCTTTCTCTCTTATTCTTGTTTCCGTTACAGTTCCCCCTACCAATTTTATTTAATTTATATAAAATTTCTCTTGTGTTTCTCAGGTGAAAAACGGAGTTCTATAAAGAACGGAGCTGAACTGTGACTTCCTTCAATTGTAGCATTTCAGAAGCATTTTAACGAACCTTGTATTCATTCATCTTTTTAGAAGTCAGGAAACAGCACGATGCTCAATACGCAGAAAGAAGTAGAGGACTGTCAATTGTGAACGCAATACAAAATGGCCTAAACTTTAACCCAGAAGTTACAAAGAACGTGTGGGTTCTCAGAACCAGAACTAATATATTGGAGAATTTTTTTTTAATTTTATTCGAGAATGTCTCGAAAATACATTATTATATGATAATGAATATCCGTTACGTTGGTATTGATGGCTGTAATAAATTGAAAATTACATGTCTGAGGTAGTGTAAAATGGCATTACATTAACACAAAATGAAGCGAATATTTTGTTCTTGTTTTTGTTTACGGTAGTGTAATAAACGCCTAAAAAGCAAGAAATCATGCGCTTACTTTGTCAAAGTACTAACTTAAGAAACTTCATGTACAGATATTGATTCAGCTGACCAAGGTGTGTAAATATCCTTAGGTACATACTCCCAACACTTTACTTCATTACGAGCCAGTTAAAACCAGCTCGCATCTTCACAATGCCTTTAAGACCCATTTTTATATCGCCTCCCATCTATGCCTGTTCCTATAAGTGGCATCGTTTCATAAGTCCTTCCGGCCAAAATATTTGTATGTATTTGTTGTTTACTCGGAGTGTGTTACACAGGCTGTCAATCTCCCTGATTTATCCACCCTTAAATATGACATACCATGCGATAAAAGACACGTCCACTTTGCTATACTTTCCGCAGTGGGCAGGCCTTTTTATTGCGGAAAAAAACGTTAGGTCCTTATAATAATGTAATTGAACCAGAACTTTCTCTACATTATGTCACCACGGGTATGGTACACACAGGAAATAATCGTCTAAGGAACGTGATGAAATCTGCGGCATTCTATTCTAAGAAACTCTACAGAAACCGGCGGTTAACAACCCCCCCCCCCAAAAGGGTTTATCGATCTTTACGTGGGAGGGGACACTGTTCTTTCTGTTGATGGGTTCGTACCGAATCCCACAACCCTTTCGCGACGTTACATCTCACCCCAAAGCGCTTTATCTTTGGCGTAATAATATCCGTCATAAAGGTTCTCGGAACCTCCTGGACCAGAGCATACCTGAAAGGACCTGATTGTTGTTCCCTTAACTCAAAGAATAATGTAGAGAATGGTGCTGTTAGAAGCAAGATCGGGACGCGGAGGGTCAATGGCCTTCATAAGTGCTGTTAGTTCAGAAGAACGCAAACTGACTAAATTTTTAAGCAATTAAAATGTGTGACTTGCGTGAATGTATTTCATCATTATCACCATCCGTCATCTTCGCTTGATTCGAGTCGGGGCTTCTTCTGTTGTAGAGACTTCTAATTCCTTATCAAAAGCTACTGGAGGTTTTGGATGGAGTATCACACCATCTCAAGGATAATACCTCAAGTGAGATTCGAATTCGCAACTCCATTGTGCACTTTTCCGTTCTTGTAGATATTTCACGATGCTGTTTAATCTGCGTGGCTTTGAACTTAGCAGACAGAATATTAATCTTTTGAAGCCGGAGTTCGTCAAAATAATATTTAAAGATTTAATATTTAAAAGTTCCTACCGCAAAGAAAACTCAAAACTTCGCAATTACAAAATCACTTGGTTAATGCTGTTTAAGGAAATTATGATACTGTACTCTGAGAATCATACAAAACCCATAAATACATTTTATAGCAAAACAGAACGTTATAGATTATTAAAGGTTACCACTGGGCTTTGAAGGGTTAACGAAGGAACAGTGCCTTAAAATACAGGTCATTGACGCTGTTTAGCAGGCGCTCACAATGTTTCAATCTATCCACTGCGTTAATTTTCTTTTTATAATTTTTGCCCTCGTGTATAAGAATGTTGTATCCGACTCATCCTCAACTTACAGACGATTTGAAACAGAGGAGACGTGACATACTTCTGAACGACATATACATCCTTCTTCTGCTTTCGCCGAATCAATTATGGAACCAGCCCTACGATACAATCAAAGGTCATACTGAGGTCATACCATGGCACTGAGCTTTGCGGACAACCGCTACGGCTACGCGGCTCGAGTAAAAAAGAAAGAGAACTCAAAACTTGCATCCTCGTCGTCAGTTCACATTCAAAAAGCAATGCGGGAAACGACACGGGGCGCATTCATAATCACAGAAGTAACTTAACACAGAAACTATTGAGAAACGGAGAGGCCGGAAGGTGGATGAAACTGCCTCAGGGGCGTGTCAGATGATCGGTTCTGGATTTAGTGGTGTCCGATATTCATGTTCCATTACAAGAGGGTCCATGTAGTTTTTTGATTTTTTTTTTTGAGCGAGATGAGACATTCATACAGAATTTTTGCAAAACCCCTTGGAAAAGGACCCCTTAGAAGACCGACCAGAAAATGGGACGATAATATTAAGATAGATCATAGAGAAATACATTTTGTAAACCGGAGGTGAATGAAACTAGCTTAGGGTCGTGTTTGCGGTGGTAAAACTTCGTGTTCTATTACCAGAGTATTTCAGTCAGTTACACATGATGAGCTACATATGTAGTTCGCATAGGGATGACGAGACACGCATTCGGAATTCTTGTAAGGGAACTTCCAAGAAAACGATAACTTGAAGGGCCAAGAAGACACAAGAATATAATGTCCAGAACAGTCTAGAGAGATAGTTTGTGAGGAAGGGAGATGAATGGAAGTGTCTCAAGAGGTAATATACCCTATTTGGCAAGTACGATCAAAATTAAAATTGTTTCATAACTTATGGTCAAAATCCCCAATACTAAATTAGAAAGAAATCCAGTCAGTATTTTCGGAGAGAAAACAGCAGATAAACACGCGGTTATGACCTCCTCTCTCTCTCTCTGCTTTCACTTTGTGCAAAGATCGCCAATTTATCAGCAGTCAACCATCAAGCCACTGTCAGATAAATAAACAAAGATTCGTCTACTATGCAAAATACAGGCGAACTACTCTTTACAAGCTCATTAACACTAAACATTTATTCTAAAACCTTTTCAAAATGGAGTTCCATCTGTATCCAGTTCTGCCAATCGTTTGGCCCTCCAAGCTTATATTTTACTGTATAGTTTGACAATCGATTCGTTCCAGTTTTATGAATGATGTTACTAAGTAGGCCTATGACTACTGTTATCTATTTTACCGTGGATTACAGATATATGGAATTATTTTCTTATCTGTTTATTCGGTACTTTATCTAAACCCGTAAAACCTTTTATTGCTCGTAAAATTCTCATTCCTTCGCCTCAATTCAATGTTTGAAGACCTAGGAGTAACAGTGGGCTAACCAACAAAGTTGGAAAATCTGGAATAATGAAAAATGTAAACTCACTATGACCTCCATTTTTATATATATATGCGGGATAAGCCATATTTGATTTGTCGCAGTTAAATGTGTCTTTCAAAGTGAAATTAGAACAACCAAGTTAAATTTTATCTCCGTTTTTCTTAGTTGTAACAAGTGTTGGTTATCCCCCTGTTGCTCTCAGGTCTTCATTTACCAGTTTCTTTTCATAATACATGTTTCTGAGCTATAAGCAGATAAAAGTCTCAAAACTGCTAACAGCTTTAGAATATTACATCATTTTCATAACAGTGCTTAATTCAGATTTTTATATCACCTACAATTTTGTATTAATAACTTCATTATTGCAATTATTTTTAGGTTTGAAAGACACGTCACAATGCAGATAATAACGGCAATTGATGTGTAAACGCTGATTTGTTCCAATACTTCTAATTCTGAAATTATTATCAAAGTATCTGTAAAAAGTACAGATTCAGTATTACTTTCCAGCGTCGACCGCTGAATGGATTTTCACAAAATTTGATATTTTTACATTGGAGAGTTTTACTAAAATTTGCCGACAACTTAAAATTCTGATTTAAATCTAACGTGCAATTTACATGAATTCGTCGGTCAGTCGCAAGACTCAGTTCAAATTCTG